ATGACACCAGACTATGGACTCACACCACTGAACCACACAGTGACACTAGACTATGCACTCACACCACTGAACCAGAGTGTGGTTCCAGGATCCTCAATAAGCCCTTGTTGACCCCATCTCAGAGCCCAAGATATTCATATGAATAATGCACTAAACTACACATAGTAATATTCAGCTTTTTCAAGAAGTTACACAAAACTAGCCTTGATTATACCTCAGTGCAATCATTTCCTGAATAAACCATGCAGTCACATTATCCACGGTGCTGTGTTCCATACAAGAGGACAAACTGTCTCTGTTGGTGGAGAGGTACTGTTTGTACCGACCTCCCTGTCCATACATGAGGTCAAACCTTCCCTGTTGGTGGAGAGGCCTTGTACAGTTTGTACCGACCTCCCTGTGTTCCATACAAGAGGACAAACTGTCTCTGTTGGTGGAGAGGTCTTGAACTGTTTGTACCAACCTCCCTGTGTTCCATACAAGAGGACTAACTGTCTTTGTTGGTGGAGAGGCCTTGTACTCTTTGTACCAACCTCCCTGTGTTCTATACATGAGGACAATCTGTCTCTGTTGGTGGAGAGGTCTTGTACTGTTTGTACCGACCTCCCTTTGTTCCATACTTGAGGTCAAACTGTCCCTGTTGGTGGAGAGGTCTTGTACTGTTTGTACCAACCTCACTGTGTTCTATACAAGAGTACAATCTGTCCCTGTTGGTGGAGAGGCCTTGTACTGTTTGTACCGACCTCCCTGTGTTCCATACAAGAGGATCAACTGTCTCTGTTGGTGGAGAGGCCTTGTACAGTTTGTACCGACCTCCCTGTGTTCCATACAAGAGGACAAACTGTCCCTGTTGGTGGAGAGGTTTTGTACTGTTTGTACCAACCTCCCTGTGTTCCATACAAGAGGACTAACTGTCTTTGTTGGTGGAGAGGCCTTGTACTGTTTGTACCGACCTCCCTTTGTTCCATACATGAGGTCAAACTGTCCCTGTTGGTGGAGAGGTCTTGTACTGTTTGTACCAACCTCACTGTGTTCTATACAAGAGGACAATCTGTCCCTGTTGGTGGAGAGGCCTTTTACTGTTTGTACCGACCTCACTGTGTTCTATACATGAGGACAATCTGTCCCTGTTGGTGGAGAGGCCTTGTACAGTTTGTACCGACCTCCCTGTGTTCCATACAAGAGGACAAACTGTCTCTGTTGGTGGAGAGGTCTTGTACTGTTTGTACCAACCTCCCTGTGTTCCATACAAGAGGACTAACTGTCTTTGTTGGTGGAGAGGCCTTGTACTCTTTGTACCAACCTCCCTGTGTTCTATACATGAGGACAATCTGTCCCTGTTGGTGGAGAGGCCTTTTACTGTTTGTACCGACCTCACTGTGTTCTATACATGAGGACAATCTGTCCCTGTTGGTGGAGAGGCCTTGTACTGTTTGTACCGACCTCACTGTGTTCTATACATGAGGACAAACTGTCCCTGTTGGTGGAGAGGCCTTGTACTGTTTGTACCGACATCACTGTGTTCTATACATGAGGACAATCTGTCCCTGTTGGTGGAGAGGCCTTGTACTGTTTGTACCGACCTCCCTGTGTTCCATACAAGAGGATCAACTGTCCCTGTTGGTGGAGAGGCCTTGTACAGTTTGTACCAACCTCCCTGTGTTCCATACAAGAGGACAAACTGCCTCTGTTGGTGGAGAGGTCTTGTACTGTTTGTACCAACCTCCCTGTGTTCTATACAAGAGGACTAACTGTCTTTGTTGGTGGAGAGGCCTTGTACTGTTTGTACCAACCTCCCTGTGTTCTATACATGAGGACAATCTGTCTCTGTTGGTGGAGAGGTCTTGTACTGTTTGTACCGACCTCCCTTTGTTCCATACTTGAGGTCAAACTGTCCCTGTTGGTGGAGAGGTCTTGTACTGTTTGTACCAACCTCACTGTGTTCAATACAAGAGGACAATCTGTCCCTGTTGGTGGAGAGGCCTTTTACTGTTTGTACCGACCTCACTGTGTTCTTTACATGAGGACAATCTGTCCCTGTTGGTGGAGAGGCCTTGTACTGTTTGTACCGACCTCAATGTGTTCTATACATGAGGACAAACTGTCCCTGTTGGTGGAGAGGCCTTGTACTGTTTGTACCGACCTCACTGTGTTCTATACATGAGGACAATCTGTCCCTGTTGGTGGAGAGGCCTTGTACTGTTTGTGCCGACCTCCCTGTGTTTCATACATGAGGTCAAACTGTCCCTGTTGGTGGAGAGGTCTTGTACTGTTTGTACCGACCTCCCTGTGTTCCATACAAGAGGATCAACTGTCTCTGTTGGTGGAGAGGTCTTGTACTCTTTGTACCGACCTCCCTTTGTTCCATACTTGAGGACAAACTGTCTCTGTTGGTGGAGAGGTCTTGATCTGTTTGTACCGACCTCCCTGTTGTCCATACATGAGGTAAAACTGTCCCAGTTGGTGGAGAGGTCTTGTACTCTTTGTACCGACCTCCCTTTGTTCCATACTTGAGGTCAAACTGTCTCTGTTGGTGGAGAGGCCTTGTTCTGTTTGTACCGACCTCCCTGTGTTCCATACATGAGGTCAAACTGTCCCTGTTGGTGGAGAGGCCTTGTACTGTTTGTACCAACCTCCCTGTGTTCCATACAAGAGGACTAACTGTCCCTGTTGGTGGAGAGGCCTTGTACTCTTTGTACCGACCTCCCTGTGTTCTATACATGAGGACAATCTGTCCCTGTTGGTGGAGAGGTCCTGTACTGTTTGTACCAACCTCCCTGTCCATACAAGAGGACTAACTGTCTTTGTTGGTGGAGAGGCCTTGTACTGTTTGTACCAACCTCCCTGTGTTCCATACAAGAGGATCAACTGTCTCTGTTGGTGGAGAGGTCTTGTACTGTTAGTACCGACTTCCCTGTGTTCCATGCATGAGGTCAAACTGTCCCTGTTGGTGGAGAGGTCTTGTACTGTTTGTACCGACCTCCTTGTTGTCCATACATGAGGTCAAACTGTCCCAGTTGGTCGAGAGGTCTTGTACTCTTTGTACCGACCTCCCTTTGTTCCATACTTGAGGTAAAACTGTCCCTGTTGGTGGAGAGGCCTTGTACTCTTTGTACCGACCTCCCTGTGTTCCATACAAGAGGACTAACTGTCCCTGTTGGTGGAGAGGTCTTGATCTGTTTGTACCGACCTCCCTGTTGTCTATACATGAGGTAAAACTGTCCCTGTTGGTGGAGAGGTCTTGTACTCTTTGTACCGACCTCCCTTTGTTCCATACTTGAGGTCAAACTGTCCCAGTTGGTGGAGAGGCCTTGTACTGTTTGTACCAACCTCCCTGTGTTCCATACAAGAGGACTAACTGTCCCTGTTGGTGGAGAGGCCTTGTACTCTTTGTACCGACCTCACTGTGTTCCATACAAGAGGACTAACTGTCTCTGTTGGTGGAGAGGCCTTGTACAGTTTGTACCGACCTCCCTGTGTTCTATACATGAGGTCAAACTGTCTCTGTTGGTGGAGAGGCCTTGTTTTGTTTGTACCGACCTCCCTGTGTTCAATACAAGAGGACTAAATGTCCCTGTTGGTGGAGAGGCCTTGTACTCTTTGTACCGACCTCCCTGTGTTCCATACAAGAGGACTAACTGTCTCTGTTGGTGGAGAGGCCTTGTACAGTTTGTACCGACCTCCCTGTGTTCTATACATGAGGTCAAACTGTCTCTGTTGGTGGAGAGGCCTTGTTCTGTTTGTACCGACCTCCCTGTGTTCCATACAAGAGGACTAACTGTCCCAGTTGGTGGAGAGGCCTTGTACTCTTTGTACCGACCTCCCTGTGTTCCATACAAGAGGACTAACTGTCTCTGTTGGTGGAGAGGTCTTGTACTCTCTGTACCGACCTCCCTGTGTTCTATACATGAGGTCAAACTGTCTCTGTTGGTGGAGAGGCCTTGTACTCTTTGTACTGATCTCCCTGTGTTCTATACATGAGGTCAAACTGTCCCTGATGGTGGAGAGGCCTTGTACTCTTTGTACCAACCTCCCTTTGCTCTATACATGAGGTCAAACTGTCTCTGTTGGTGGAGAGGCCTTGTACTCTTTGTACTGATCTCCCTGTGTTTCATACAAGAGGACTAACTGTCCCTGTTGGTGGAGAGGCCTTGTACTGTTTGTACCGACTTCACTGTGTTCTATACATGAGGACAATCTGTCCCTGTTGGTGGAGAGGCCTTGTACTGTTTGTACCGACCTCACCGTGTTCTATACATGAGGACAATCTGTCCCTGTTGGTGGAGAGGCCTTGTACTGTTTGTACCGACCTCACCGTGTTCTATACATGAGGACAATCTGTCCCTGTTGGTGGAGAGGCCTTGTACTGTTTGTACCGACCTCACTGTGTTCTATACATGAGGACAATCTGTCCCTGTTGGTGGAGAGGCCTTGTACTGTGTGTACCGACCTCCCTGTGTTCCATACTTGAGGAAAAACTGTCTCTGTTGGTGGAGTGGCCTTGTACTGTTTGTACTGACAACATTACAGAGGAGTGTATCACAGTACAAGGTGTATCACAGTTACACCTGCGCTAAAGAGTATGTACAAATATTGTATCATTTGAATCATCTCATGTCTACTCATCCCTTGTCTACTCATCCCATTTACTTGCCCTCTGTCTACTGATCTCCTGTCTACTCATCCCATTTACTTGCCCTCTGTCTACTGATCTCCTGTCTACTCATCCCATTTACTTGCCCTCTGTCTACTGATCTCCTGTCTACTCATCCCATTTACTTGCCCTCTGTCTACTGATCTTCTGTCTACTCATCCCATTTACTTGCCCTCTGTCTACTGATCTCCTGTCTACTCATCCCATTTACTTGCCCTCTGTCTACTGATCTCCTGCCTACTCATCCCATTTACTTGCCCTCTGTCTACTGATATCCTGTCTACTCATCCCATTTACTTGCCCTCTGTCTACTGATCTCCTGCCTACTGATCTCCTGCCTACTCACCAACATCAGGAAGCCCCCGAAGGCCAGACAGAAGACGAGTGGTCCGGCCAGATCAGTGTCCTGCATGATGTCGTGGTCCGTGCCCTTCAGTGGATTCAGTACGGCTGTTGTCTGAAGCAACATTCCACACGTTAGATACACATGTCACACATGTCACACATGTCACACAAAACATGAAAACATCATTGAATATAGATATATAAGAGTTTTTTTACACAAAATATTCTTAATAACTCTGGATATTGCAGTAAGTTGCAGTAAGTAGTGCCATGAATGCATTAGCATACATGAGCGAGACATCCCCGTTAGGTAGAGAATGTGTGAGGGAGAACATACTCAATCAACAGCAAATCAAGTCTGCTCAATACACTAAGCAAATTACTTCAGCAATAATGTCTTAGACTCTGTAGCCCACTTTAATTATGAAGAAATAATGGCAGCCATGTCTAACAGCTAACTGTAGTTGTTGAATGAAACGTTAACTTTATATTTAGTTTCAGTTTCGTATTATACAAAATACGAAATTATTTTTTCACTCTTACTCCTACTAATGTGATGTCTTACTGATATTACTGTTTCTGTAGTCAGGAATGACATTGGCACCCTGTACAGACACAGTAAGATGTACGACATTAAAGTCATTGTTAATAAACATTAAGGATTTAAATGTTATTTTGTGTTGTAAACAGTAGATGTACAAAACACACTTTACGGTTTCTTTAAACAGGAATTCTGTGTTAAGTTTTTAACTGGGATCATTCATGCAAAGTTTTAGCATCGTCGTCCTTGTATTATTTATCTATCATCAAAACAGAACACACCTTTGTTCTCTAGTTACACTGTAGAATCACCACAGAACCAGAGGAAGCAGGATCCGTTTATCATCTATACTGTTATATATGGTGCATCTCTACACTTACACGGACCAGTCATACGCATTGTCAACTTGGCAGTTTATCATCTACACTGTTATATATGGTGCATCTATACACAACACAGACCAGTCATACACATTGTCAACTTGGCAGTTTATCATCTACAGTTATATATGGTGCATCTATACACAACACAGACCAGTCATACACATTGTCAACTTGGCAGTTTATCATCTACACTGTTATATATGGTGCATCTATACACAACACAGACAAGTCATACACATTGTCAACTTGGCAGTTTATCATCTACACTGTTATATATGGTGCATCTATACACAACACAGAAAAGGTCATACACATTGTCAACTTGGCAGTTTATCATCTACCTTGTTATATATGGTGCATCTATACACAACACAGACCAGTCATACACATTGTCAACTTGGCAGTTTATCATCTACACTGTTATATATGGTGCATCTATACACAACACAGACAAGTCATACACATTGTCAACTTGGCAGTTTCTCATCTACACTGTTATATATGGTGCATCTATACACAACACAGACAAGGTCATACACATTGTCAACTTGGCAGTTTATCATCTACCTTGTTATATATGGTGCATCTATACACAACACAGACCAGTCATACACATTGTCAACTTGGCAGTTTATCATCTACACTGTTATATATGGTGCATCTCGTACCCTTACATAGACCAGTCATACACATTGTCAACTTGGCAGTTTATCATCTACACTGTTATATATGGTGCATCTATACACAACACAGACCAGTCATACACATTGTCAACTTGGCAGTTTATCATCTACACTGTTATATATGGTGCATCTATACACAACACAGACCAGTCATACACATTGTCAACTTGGCAGTTTATCATCTACACTGTTATATATGGTGCAACTACACACCACACAGACCAGTCATACACATTGTCAACTTGGCAGTTTATCATCTACACTGTTATATATGGTGTATCTACACACTTACATAGACCAGTCATACACATTGTCAACTTGGCAGTTTATCATCTTCACTGTTATATATGGTGCATCTATACACAACACAGACCAGTCATACACATTGTAAACTTGGCAGTTTATCATCTACACTGTTATAAATGGTGCATCTACACACAACACAGACCAGTCATACACATTGTCAACTTGGCAGTTTATCATCTACACTGTTATATATGGTGCATCTATACACAACACAGACCAGTCATACGCATTGTCAACTTGGCAGTTTATCATCTACACTGTTATTTTTTGTGCATCTACACACTTACATAGACCAGTCATACACATTGTCAACTTGGCAGTTTATCATCTACACTGTTATATATGGTGCATCTATACACAACACAGACCAGTCATACACATTGTCAACTTGGCAGTTTATCATCTACACTGTTATATATGGTGCAACTACACACCACACAGACCAGTCATACACATTGTCAACTTGGCAGTTTATCATCTACACTGTTATATATGGTGTATCTACACACTTACATAGACCAGTCATACACATTGTCAACTTGGCAGTTTATCATCTACACTGTTATGTATGGTGCATCTACACACAACACAGACCAGTCATACACATTGTCAACTTGGCAGTTTATCATCTACACTGTTATGTATGGTGCATCTACACACAACACAGACCAGTCATACACATTGTCAACTTGGCAGTTTATCATCTACACTGTTATGTATGGTGCATCTACACACCACAGAGACCAGTCATACACATTGTCAACTTGGCAGTTTATCATCTACACTGTTATATATGGTGCATCTATACACCACACAGACAAGTCATACACATTGTCAACTTGGCAGTTTATCATCTACACTGTTATATATGGTGCATCTAGACACAACACAGACAAGTCATACACATTGTCAACTTGGCAGTTTATCATCTACACTGTTATATATGGTGCATCTATACACCACACAGACAAGTCATACACATTGTCAACTTGGCAGTTTATCATCTACACTGTTATATATGGTGCATCTACACACCACACAGACCAGTCATACACATTGTCAACTTGGCAGTTTATCATCTACACTGTTATATATGGTGCATCTACACACCACACAGACCAGTCATACACACTGGCAACTTGGCAGTTTATCATCTACACTGTTATATATGGTGCATCTATACACCACACAGACCAGTCATACACATTGTCAACTTGGCAGTTTATCATCTATACTGTTATATATGGTGCATCTCCACACTTACACAGACCAGTCATACACATTGTCAACTTGGCAGTTTATCATCTACACTGTTATATATGGTGCATCTACACACAACACACACTAGTCATACACATTGTCAACTTGGCAGTTTATCATCTACACTGTTATATATGGTGTATCTACACACAACACACACTAGTCATACACATTGTCAACTTGGCAGTTTATCATCTACACTGTTATATATGGTGTATCTACACACAACACACACTAGTCATACACATTGTCAACTTGGCAGTTTATCATCTACACTGTTATATATGGTGTATCTATACACAACACAGACCAGTCATACACATTGTCAACTTGGCAGTTTATCATCTACACTGTTATATATGGTGCATCTCCACACCACAGAGACCAGTCATACACATTGTCAACTTGGCAGTTTATCATCTACACTGTTATATATGGTGCATCTACACACAACACAGACCAGTCATACACATTGTCAACTTGGCAGTTTATCATCTACACTGTTATATATGGAGCATTTACACACAACACAGACCAGTCATACGCATTGTCAACTTGGCAGTTTATCATCTACACTGTTATATATGGAGCATTTACACACAACACAGACCAGTCATACACATTGTCAACCTGGCAGTTTATCATCTACACTGTTATATATGGTGTATCTACACACAACACAGACTAGTCATACACATTGTCAACCTGGCAGTTTATCATCTACACTGTTATATATGGTGCATCTACACACCACAGAGACCAGTCATACATATTGTCAACTTGGCAGTTTATCATCTACACTGTTATATATGGAGCATCTACACACAACACAGACTAGTCATACACATTGTCAACCTGGCAGTTTATCATCTACACTGTTATATATGGTGTATCTACACACCACACAGACCAGTCATACACATTGTCAACTTGGCAGTTTATCATCTACACTGTTATATATGGTGCATCTACACACAACACAGACCAGTCATACACATTGTCAACCTGGCAGTTTATCATCTACACTGTTATATATGGTGCATCTCCACACCACAGAGACCAGTCATACACATTGTCAACTTGGCAGTTTATCATCTACACTGTTATATATGGTGCATCTACACACAACACAGACCAGTCATACACATTGTCAACTTGGCAGTTTATCATCTACACTGTTATATATGGTGCATCTACACACCACACAGACCAGTCATACACATTGTCAACCTGGCAGTTTATCATCTACACTGTTATGTATGGTGTATCTACACACAACACAGACCAGTCATACACATTGTCAACCTGGCAGTTTATCATCTACACTGTTATATATGGTGCATCTACACACCACACAGACCAGTCATACACATTGTCAACCTGGCAGTTTATCATCTACACTGTTATATATGGTGCATCTACACACAACACAGACCAGTCATACACATTGTCAACTTGGCAGTTTATCATCTACACTGTTATATATGGTGCATCTACACACCACACAGACAAGTCATACACATTGTCAACTTGGCAGTTTATCATCTACACTGTTATATATGGTGCATCTACACACCACACAGACCAGTCATACACATTGTCAACTTGGCAGTTTATCATCTACACTGTTATATATGGTGTATCTACACACAACACAGACCAGTCATACACATTGTCAACTTGGCAGTTTATCATCTACACTGTTATATATGGTGCATCTACACACCACACAGACCAGTCATACACATTGTCAACTTGGCAGTTTATCATCTACACTGTTATATATGGTGCATCTACACACCACAGGGAGCAGTCATACACATTGTCAACTTGGCAGTTTATCATCTACACTGTTATATATGGTGCATCTACACACCACACAGACCAGTCATACACATTGTCAACCTGGCAGTTTATCATCTACACTGTTATATATGGT